CCGGGTGAGGTTAAGTGACTTGACCAAGGTCTCAGGTTGGTAAGGGACAGAGGCAGGATTGATCGCAAGTCCCCTTTTCTCCACACCCAGTGGCCTTTATTCTACTGCGACCTGCTATTCGATTGGAGTGCCCCACCTCTCCCACGTCTGTGTCTCAGTTCCACTCTGTTCCAGAATTTTTCTTTCCTTACTCCTGCCGTGTTCAAGAGCCCTTTGTAGTTTGTTCTTCTTCCTCCTGTCAGTATCTGCTCTCAGCACAGCTCTGCCATCAGATGGTTCAACTGTGTTCTACGTGGAAAAGTGATCTCAGCAGGGAAAGGGGACTGCCTTCTACAGGCTGAGTTCCCCAAGGGGCCACCAGTAGGTGTGCCTCAGGCTGACCAATGGTGGGAGGTTGTGGTGGAGACTGGGTGTCTTTGCCTCTCTGAGATCACTCGCCAAGTGATGAGAGGCAGCTCTCAGTCTGCAGAAGGCCCAGGGGACACATGACACTCACTGGGATGGCCGTGGACCCATAGGTGGGGGCTTGGAGACACCCAGGTAAAGGGAAATGCAATTTGTCTGGTGGTTATCTGGTACCCCTTCTCCATAGAGCACTAATTCATGCATTCATTGAGTCAACGAGTATTCAAAGTTTATTATGCCATGTCCCAGGTCCTGTGCCTGGGCTGGGGCTATAGCATGGAGTAAGTCAGACCCAGTTCTTGCCTCTTGGAGCTTACAGTCTGGTAGAGCAGGAGCCAGGAAGGAGCTGGTGCAGCTGGAGCAAGTCACAGAGGACTTTGTGGGGCTTGGGGTGGGTCATTAACCTGTTGCCTCCTGTCTGAAGCTGGAGGGCAGAAATAAGAGTCCCTGGAGGCTCTCCCAAGGGCAAAGTCAAGGTGGCAATTCCCAAACCAGTCCAAGGAAACAGGGCACTGATTGGACAACGGCACTGTAAGCATGCAGCCCAAACAGAGTGGCTTGGCTATGGGGCATGGAAGAAGGCGTGAGCTAGAAAACAAGGAGAAGAAGGAAGGAAGGGAGGGAACAAATGGCAGCATCTCCTCATTTGTGCGTGGACTGAAGCTCAAGAATATTCACAGCAGCAATTTGCAAGAGAAAAACTTTGGGACAATAAAGCTTCTATTATCTATTAACAGGAATGAATGAATAAATTGTGGTGTTCTCCAATAATAAAAGTCACAGCAGAGAAAAGTAATAAACCAGAGCTGCCTGTGTCAACATGGATAAATCACACGTAGCGTTGAGTGAAGAAAAGCAAGCTGCAGACAGATGCACTTAGTTTATGATACCATTGATATAAAGTTTGAAAACTCGCAAAACAATTCTGTATGTTGTTCAGGGATAGGATAAATAAATATGTAATAAAAATATAAAATCATTTGTGGGAACAATAATGTCTAAATTCCAGATTATGACGACTTTGGGAGGAGCGGGAGGTGCAGTCATGACAAGGTATGCTGGGGGTGCAGGGGTATTGGCAATGCTTTATTTCCTACCCTGGATGCCAGTTGTATTATAATTTATACCCTTTTTATATGTCTTAAGTAGTACATAATAAAATTTATTTTAAAAGCTAAAGTGAGGCAAATTATGTGGATTGGGCAAGGGAGGGTCTACTTTCCACCCTCCTTTTACTGCCTCCAGTGAGTTAGGCATCAAACTTGGATCTCTTTCCAAAGCCTGGCTTGGAGATGCAAAGCAAGGTGGCCCTCCAAGGAGGAACTGGGCTGGGCAGCACCTTCTCCCTCCCACTCAGCCCTCCCTGGGGCAATGCAGTGACATTGCAAGTGAGGGACAGGGGTGGGACTTCAGCACTCCTGGGTATCCCGAAGCTACTGATAAGACCACCAGCTTTCTCTTTAGAGAGAAAGTGGTTTTGTGGCCAAAGGAGCTGGAGCCCTATCTCTGCCCACATTGTGCTGTGCTTTCACTGCTTTAAGCAGTGCAGTCCCTGGTGACATAATGAGGAGATGCCAGACATCCTTTAACTATTGCCAGTAGAGTCTGCAGGTGCCAACCCCAAACCTGGGGACCTGCCTTATATAGGCCACCAGCCTCGATCCTCACATACCAGGGATCTCGGGGAAGTGCCTGGGGTCATGCAGGTTTGACTCACCCAGGCCCTCTTTCTTTGCATAAGCTACTTTCTCCTGGATGTGGCTATCATGGCTTCATAGGTCTCCCAGAAGTTACAGACAGTGGATTATGTGAAAAGTCAAAACTAAGGCACAAAGGGGTTAAGACTTTATCTCTTTTGTGTTGAGACTGTAGGCAAGGGCTGGATGACTAATTACCAAGGAGGTCTTGGTCCTCAGGGACTGCAGTCAGTATTGCACTGAGGAGCATCCTTGGACAGAGCATTTTAGAGTTGAGGGGCCTGAAGTCATATTCAGGTCCATTGTTTGTGTGGAGAACTGAGGACAAGGTTGGGAAGTACCAGGCAGGTGAATGGCCCTAGTCCTGTATCTACGTGTCATCCAACTGGTTTTCTTTTTAAATAATATAGCAGCTTTCCTTCTTCTTGGCCTAGAGGGGTGGGACACAACGAGCTCTTCCAGTCGAGTCTCCTGGAGCCTCCCAAAGCCCACAGGCAGAAGTAGGTGTGGATAGGGAATGGCAGCAGGAGAGGCTGGGTGGGGCTGGATAGCCAAGTCCCCCTTCGGTTTGGAAAACCCACACTCTCTCAGGGTGAACACCCGAGGGGTGCAGCCCAGATGAAGAGTGTGGATGTGGGGAGCAGCCATCACTCAGAGGTTGCCCGGGTTTGGTAGGGGGATGATGTCTTAGCAGACCTTAAATATTCCTTTTCTTTCTTGGTTTGAGTCACCCTATAAAGAAACAAAATGCAGATTCCTCCGGAGCTGTGAAAGGAGTTTTTCCTGATGGAGGGAAGGTTGGAAATTGGTTCCAACTCTACCCTTTTGGGTTCCTTCTCCCCTATCCCCTATACTACAACCGGCACGGTTGACAGCAGGCCTGACTCTTACCCCAGTGCCTTCCCATTATGCCCTGTGGCCTCTCACCCATCAGAACACCAGGTCTGCAGCTGACGTCTTGAATGGCCCTGGACCAGTCATTGCATGTGTTAATAGAATGGGTGCTGTGCCTCTCCACTGGTTCTGTCTTCCTGGGGGGCATTCGGAAATGTGTGGGGACATGTTTGGTTGTCACTTGAATTTATTTTCAAGGAGGAAGGGCAGGAATGCTAAGTCTCCTTGCCACATACAAGGGAGCTGGACACAAGGAGGAGCTGTCCTTCCCAAAATGCCAGAAGTGCCCTCACTGAAAAGCACTGTTAGACTCAGTAAGGACCCTTCTAGCTATGACTGTCAGGCACAGCACTGGGAAGCTTCTGGCAGACTGTGATATGATCTGTATGCCAGTGATGTGTGTAGCTTCGGTCAGAGGTCCAAGGCGTGAGGTTAGCGAGTTCAGGACACTGTCCTGCAGGAACCAGGCTGGCTGGAAAGGAGCTGACCTGAGAGCTACTTGGTTGTTATGAGATGAATGACTTGGAACAGCATCCATCACTGCTGGGCCCTCTGAAACCCGGATAACAGAGAGTGACCTGGAAGATCGCCTTGGAGCTGGGAGGGAAGGGCAGGTGGAAGCCACAGGGAAGCAGAGAAGGGGAGAGCAGATTTGAAGAGGTGTAAGATCATAGTGCATCTGAGGGGATGAAATGAGTCATCGCAGAGAGAAATTTGCTGTGATCTGCTCTGCAGTAAAGGGGGACTGGAGGCCTGGGGCCAAGCAGGGAGGCGAGGGAAGCATATTTTAAGGTATAGAATCAATACTGCATCTGTCCCTTTTAAATTCAGTTCCTCCTTCCAATAAATCAAGTGGAGCTGGGGTGCAGGGGATTTTCAGTCCAAAAAGACCTTTGGCTCATCAATTTCCACAGCAAAGGCAGGTGGTTTAAGGGAGCCAGATAATTACTGAGCCCAAAGAGGCCCAGGGAACTTTTTAACATCTGCACACACCTGGCTGTAGTCTTGGTCTTTAAGAAGTCCTTGGAATTGAGCACGGCACTGTTAACAAGGCATTATATTATTGCTCACCAGTGGGCATGTGTATGCAGGTGACGGTGCACCCTCCATGAGGGCAGGACTGGTGCCTGTTCTTGTTACCACTGCATTTCAGCACCTAGGACAGTGCCTTGCACAGCATTGGTGCTTCATAACTATTGGCTGAATCAATAAATGTCTGCATACTCTGAATGCGGACTGTGGGGAGAGAGAGAAGTACATCCCTTTATACTTCTGCATTCAAAAAATTCTTCCTTGTTGTAAGAGACAAGGCATGGAGTAGAGGAAGGAGCACAGGTTTTGGGGTCAAATGTTCCTGTATTATAAGGTTAGCTCAACCACTTCTCCATCTCTGTGACCTAAGCCAATGACTTAATTTTTCTAAGGCTCATCTGAAAAGTGGTAGCAGTAATGATCAGTTTTCAAGGGGTTGTGGAAAAGGATTTAGTGAGCCAATGCAGGAAGTATCTAGCACAGAGCCTGGTATCTAGAAAGTGTTCAGTAAGTGGAAGCTAGTGTGGAGATTGTCAGTATTTTGCCACCAGGGCATGTTCCTGCAGGGGAAGGTGATTGAGCTGGACTGGGGACTCCCCAGCATTTGTTCGGGAGCTGCCCTGTGACAGTATTTTTATTAGTCCGCAGCAAAAGAAGCAAAAGATAGACAATGCAGTGAGCTTTTCATGAACCTGAATTTATTCCATTTAAAGGACAATGCGTTTGTGTGAGATTTTTTTTCCCTTATAACTTTTGTTGTTATTAAAATGTCATTGTTCTGTGATGTGATGATAACACTAGAAGGCAGGGTTTAAAAACATATTCTCATCTTACAAAATAAAAGTTGGTGGCCTGAGGCTGGTCCTCAATTTTTAAAAAATGGAGGCTGGGCATGGTGGCTCACACTTGTAATCCTAGCACTTTGGGGGGCCGAGGAGGGAGGATGGCTTGAGGAGTTTGGGGTTGCAGTGAACTATGTTCACACCACTGAACTCTAGCCGGAGTGACAGAGGGAGATCCTGTCTCAAAAAAAATTTGTACTTAAAATCCCAGTGCCTAGAGACTACCTACTTCTCTGACTCTGATGTTCTCATCTCTAGGAGATGGAGTGGAGTATGCAGGGATAGTGCCAGGTGGAGCAGAAGGGACAATGAGGTCTGCTGGCCGGAACTTAGAGAAGCCTCCCTAGAGCAGCAGGAAGGACTTGAGCAGGGCTTTAAACATGGTGGAGAGCTTTGTGTTGGCAGATAAACATGTATGGCCATTCTAGGTGGAGGGTACAACTCAAGCAAAAGCCCAGAGGCAGACATGAATGAAATGTGATGAGGAGTTGAACTGGAGAGTTTGGGTCATGAAGAAGGAAATGAGGGCCAGAAAGCCACTGGGGCTTCTTAAATAGGGGCTTGTCATTCTGAAAATGGGGTTAAGTAGGGAAGGGAATGAACATTTATTAAGCTTCTATGATTATCTCTAATACTTGGTACTACCCTGAAACTATTCTTCCCAATTTATGTATGAGAATACTGAGGCTTATAGCGATAAAACAAGGTGTCAGGGTTCATTTAACTAGTAAGTGGCAGAGCCAAGAATGTAGCAGGAGTGTTAAGAGACAAAAAGTTTTGAGAAATAGGAGTAAAATTTAGGTTGAAAGAGGCAAATCCTAATTAATAAAGTGCCGGGCAGATCCTTAAGTGCTGAGAGTAGAAACCCAGGTAGGTGTTAAAATATATATTTCCTCCCTTTGGAAATAATTTTGAGACAATGGGTTCTAGATGCCACCCTTAGTGCTGTCCAGTGGTCAAAGGGCTCAAGATTATTATCTCCATTTCCTGTATCTAGGGAAGGCTTTGCCCAGCACGCTCTGGTGGCATCTACCCAAATTGCTGGCATAGAACCATGGAGGAGATGCATGCTTTCTGGGGCAAAGCTTTTCTAAGTGTGGTAAAGAGATAATGTCTTGTTTTTGCCTCTTCTATCATTCATTTCTAGGGATATCTACCTATCTACTTACCTATCTAGTGCCCAGGAGAGTGCTTGAGTAAATATCTGATAACCATTAGGTTCCCTCTTCCCACTATGGTGTTTGAATATTGGTTCCCAAACTTTACTGTGTGCCACAATCCTGTGGAGAGCTTGTTAATGATCTCTTCCCACTCCTGGGTTCTGATTTAGTAGCTGTGGGGTGCATCTATGAAAGCTAAAGTTTTAACATGCCCCTGACGGCTTTCAGTGCAATTGTTCCCTGGACCACACTTAGAAAAGTTCTGCTTTAGAAGGCATGCATCTCCCTGAGCTCTATGCCAGCAATTCAGGTAGATGCCAGCAGAGGGTGCTAGGCAGAGCTTTCCCTGGGTACAGGAAATTGAGGCAATGTTCTCAGGCCCTTTTAAGGATGAAGGGTCTTTACTCTGTGGATGGGAGGATCTTCAGTGAGCAGGCACTGAAGAGAATGTGGTTCTTCCAGCTGACTCTGAATAAAGACCTACAAAAGCTGGCAGCCAGACCCACTATGCTACTAAAAGAAAGCAACTGTGTGTTTGAATAAGCCCCAGCTTAGCGACACAGGTCCCTGCTTTGCTGCTAATTCATTCAATGACATTAGGCAGGACTCTCTCTCCGGCTGCAATTCAGTTCCTATTAAAAAATGAAGAGATTGATGCACTTGTTAACCTTTGCAGTCTCTGCCTCCCATGAGGCAAGACCCCTTTCCCCCAAGCCTGCTTTAGAGGGGCTGCTCATCCTTCCATCTGCAGGGGCCTCTCAGGCTGATGTCCTTTGGGGAACCTAGCCTGGGGCCTCTCTTTCACAGAGAAGCATATTATAATGAAAAGATTTGGCTTCAGATCATCCATTTGGAAAGTGAGAGAAGCTGACCATTTGTGGCCTCTGGAGCCAGCTTGCCAGCATTGATTCTGTTCCTCTTTTCTATCCACTGGGGCTGTTGATAAGGATGTTTTTAGAGTGTTTTGAGCTTAGTGCCAAGAAAGCTGGGCTGCTGTCACATATGGCTGAGGAATCACAGTGCACACAGCCACTGCATTGCACAATGCCAGGAGCATAATTGACATTACGGCCCACATGAATGGTGCCCCCGAAACTGTGTGGTGAACAACCTGAGTGGTCATTCGGGGTGTCCCCGGAAGAGCACGTAGTCTTGGTGGTATATCCTTTTCCTTTCAAGAGGCTGTTCATGGTTCCTTTTATGCACTATCTTTGCATATTGCAGAAAGCTAAGTGGCTAAGCTATATTCAAGAACTATCTTGAATATAGCAACGCCTATGGCTAGAAATGTCTTCAATGGCATACACAGACAGTATTTGTAGAGTTCACTTTATCCAAGTGTATAAGCCATCAGCTCAGGAGTCTGTGGCGGGGTGTGTAGTCGCCATCAGTCTTCTCTATCTTGCCTTACATACAAGAAGTTGAAGACTTCCATGGAGATTTTGGTGAAGGGGGAGATGTTTTTCAGTTCTGCATGGAGCCAGAGATAAGAGTCTCCCAGAAAAGTGCAGCTTCCCCTCTCCCTCTCCCAAATGATTGATGCCATTTTGGCCACCCGGTGACAAACAACAGAGCAGAGGTGAAAAGTCCCTTGTAGCAATTCATGCCAGGCTGCCTTGTGCAGCCTTGAGAGCATCTCCTTACGTGTTGCACCTAGGTAGCTCACTCATCCCTGGGACATATGCATCACCTAGTTGGAAGTCAGCCCTGTGCTAGGTATATGGGTGCAAAAATCAATAAAGCATGGCCCTATGTATAAGGACTTGACATTTGATTGGAGAAGCTAACAGGAAGCCCAGTGATTCTCACTGGCCATGAGATTCCCTTGGTGGGTTTCATGGAAGGTCCCATAGGGGCAATTGGTGAGGCATCTGGTCTTCCCGGGGAGTCTGAGAAGCCTTCCCTGAAAAGAAGTGGTCCTGGAGCAGAGAAGACCTAGAAGGGGAGGAGTTTGAAAGGAAGGGAGGAGGAGTTTGAAGGGAAGGGAGGAAGGAAGGGGCATTCCAGGAAGCCTTGGACAAAGGCGTTGCAGCAAGAGAGAGCTAAGTGTTTGGAAAACCACATATTACTTAGTGGGATTGAGATGAAAATTACCTGAGCTGGGTGCTGGGAAAGGGAGTGGGAAGTGGCCAGAGAGCCAGCGTGTGATGGAGCCTCTATTCTTTGCAAAGTGGTAAAAAGAATTTCTATTCTGCAAACCAGGGGGACCTGCTGAAGAATTTTGTGCAGGAAAGTGACATGATCAGAATTGCATTTTAGGAGTATCACTCTGATGGAAATGTGGAGAATTGACTGGCTGAAGGGAGGTGGGAACAGAGACATAATGAGCAGTTGGAGTCCAGGTGAGGGGTGCTGGAACCCCCAAGGGGGAAAGGAGGCCCAATCCACTGTCCTAACCCCTTGCCTTGCCCAGAGGTGGGAGAATTGCTTCCAGCCTCTCCAGCCCAGGCAGCAGCCCTGGAAGCTGCAGTCATGGGGTGAGGGTGAGGTTCGCTCGCAGTGCAGTGGGGAGAACTTGGGGAACTCTTTCTGCTCCATGACCTGGAACCTCTTGCAGAGCCAGGGTCAGCCAGCTCCAGGAGAGGGTGTCCAGACAGCTGAATGGAGGAGGGCACCTTCACCCACAGGAAGAAGAAGCCAGAGGCTGCCCCTGGGAACCCTGTCTCAGGACTGAGTCCCCCCACTTCCAAGTAAGAGGCACCATGAATTACCCCTGACTCCCCAACCCCTCCCCATGTTTCTATGGCAATCCCTTCCCTGTGCTTTCCTCATTGCTGCTCTCGGATTGTCTCCCAGCTCCTCCAGGAGTGCCAGGGAAGGGAGCTAATTACCTTGCTATAAATACCAGCCAGAATGAGCTCCTAGGGCCCTAGACCTGGCTTTTCTTTTTCAGTGCTCCGTGGTGGGTTGGGCAGTAGTGAGTGGGTAGAGTCTACACGGCAACCCACTGATGACATATGTGATACATTCCTTCACCCCCTGATGGGCTCAGCTGCGCCTACCTCCCCCACTTAACAGGTGGAGTAGAAAGACAGGAGCAGCAGCGTTGGGGGGGCATCCACTAAGCGCCAGGCACGGTGCTAGGCTCCAGGAATCGAGGGATGAATCAGAGCCTGCCGCTGCTTTCAAGGAACTCACTGTCTAGAGAGGAAGGCAGGCCCGCTGCACGTAGCTGTGATGAGAGGCGTGATGTGGGGAGCAGGCGGGAGCCCCAGGTCTGCCTAGGGGAGGCATGGAGGGCTTTATGGGGGAGGTGGCCTGGATAGCTGATGCTGAGAGTTGGCGAGATGGAGAGGCCCGGAGGGCATTCCAGATGGAAGGTTCTGGGCAGGGAAGGCTAGAGATGTGCAGGGGCCAGCAGGGAGCAGAGCTGGCCCTCTGTGACTCTGGCCCTGCATGTCCTGGAGGAAGGAGGGAGAATGCAAAGTACAGCTGCGACTGCCATTGCCTGAGTGCAGTGTCCTGGGTCAGTGGGGACCACAGGAGGCTCTCTGGCTGCCTTGTGGCCCAACCAGATGCATGCTGAGGGAAGATCACTCCAGAAGGAGGCTGGACTAGGATGCTCCCTTTCTAGTCGCTGAGCTTCATTATCTCAAAAAAGCCAGCCTGGAGGGCTGGAGCTCAGAAGGAGGTGACGGCAGTGGGCAAGGAACCACTATGAGAACGCAATTAACATCTCACAAACACAACAGAAATGCAAACACCTCGCTGCGGAGTGGAATTATGCACAAGGGGGAGGGAGAAAAAAAATTCTTCCCCTAATAGCTCCCGACTTTCATTAGTACTGACAGTGAAGGCTGCGTTGTCGCTGTGTTCCATGGTAACCGTTTCCAGGAAGAGAGGCGCCTCCGGAGGAGCACGGTTCTGAGGACTTTCAATCAGTCCGAGAGCTTAGCCAGACAAAACGTCTTGTCGCTGGCTTCACAGCCTCTGCGGGCGCCGGCGGGAGAGGGTATGACGTGGGCAAACATTCCCCAGGTGATGGTAGGACTCTGCTCGCTAGGAAGGGAGCACAGCTGCCTCCCCGGGCGGGATCACAGGAGAGGGCCTGGGGCGGAGGGCCCTGGGGCTGGAGAGAGGCCGGGAGAGCAGGCTCCATGCAGTGGGGTCCTGGCCAAGTTCCCATCTCCTGGGAAAAACGCAGCATCTCTCCACCCTGGAGAACGGAGAGAGTGAGGCTCTGGAGCAGAATGGCAATCCCGATGGCCATCTTAGGCCACTTACGTCATTTATCTGGGGTTCAGCACCTTCTGTGTCACCTGCACCTAGAGGTGGCTTTCCTGGGAGGATAAACGAGGCAGCCTGTGACAAACGGCTGGCTGCAGGGCTGGCCCGGGCGGTGGCATTGTCTTCCTCTTCCTCCCCTCCCTACCCTTCCTCTCTCTCGGCCTATAGGACAAAGAGGCTCAAGATGTCAGGGAAAGCAAGTGGCTTTGCTGTGGGCCTCAAGGGATCAGAGAGATGAGCATCTTTTGGTGGCCTGGCCCTGCGCCAAACAAAGTGCCCGCGGTCTGGGCGGTGGAAGCGCGTAGTAGGTTCGGTGGCCGCATGGGGAGACAGCTTAGAAATAAGGAGAGCCCTCACAGCTCCGTCCTTCATTGCACCAGGTGCGTGTGGGGGCCTGCCCGGTTCCGAGACCCTGCCATGGGCACTTGGGGTGTGCTCTCTCTCGAGGGGCGTGCCTGCCGGCAGAGTGGGGCTGGCCACCAACAGGATGCACGGTGAAAGGTCTGCAGGAAGGTAGACAGTGATAAAAGGGAAAGCAGGAGGGTGGTGGGAGGACACGGGAAGTGTCAGTGGGTGAGGGGGCTGTGGTTTTAAGTAGGGTGGGCACCCGAGGCCTCGCTGAGAAGGCAGCACGTGAGAGAGACGTGAAGGAGGGCACTCCGGGCAGAGGGACGGCCACTGCAGAGGCTCCAAGGGGCAGCGAGATGGCCGGCGTGGCTGGAGAGGAGGAAGGCGGAGAGACACAGGGTGCCACGTGGTAGCAGGGCCAGGTCGGGTGGGCTGTGTAGCGCCGTCTCCAAGCGGTGCCATGTGTGCTGGTGGGAGCTGGGACAGGCAGGTGGTGGCCAGCACTCTGCTTCCTCCCCTGCCGTCCCCACCCACCAGAGCGGCTGCGCGTGCTATCTGTCCCACAGATTGGAGTTCGGTATAAGATTTGACTTGGATCACGCCTTCTGCAACTTAACGAGTGTTAGAAATCCACTGATTGGGTCTTGTACAGATGGGGAAACTGAGCCTCAAAAAGGGCCGGTGACTTGTCTGAGGCCCCCACAGCCAATTCAGTGGAAGAAACGGAGCTCAGGCCTAGGACGTCTGGAGCAGGCTGTTTCCATGGTCTGTGTCCGAGCCGCGGGAGGTCCTGGGAGTTGGGTCGGGCCTGTGACACAGTCCCCATCAGCTGGAGGCACACAGACCCCCAGCCCGAGAGGCTCCATTTGTACTGACAGCCGCACCCCATGGCTCACATCACTGCCTCCTCCCTCGCTCCCCACCCCATCCGTGGAAAAATTGTTTTCCATGAAACCGGTCCCCGGTGCCAAAACGTTGGGGACCACTGTCCTAGAGGGCTTGTTAAAACACAGACTGTTGGTCCCAACCCTGCAGAGTCTCTGATTCAGTAGGTCTGGGGTGGAGCCTGAGATTTTGCACTTCTAACAAGTTCCCAGGTGACGCTGGTGCTGGGAGATGAAACTTTGAGAGCCGGCGTCTCAGACCCGCAGGAGGCTTGTGGGAGGAGAAGAAACCGGAGACCATGTATGGGCTGGATGTGCAGAAAGTCCAGATGGAGGGATGTGTTTGGAGCCGGACCCAGGAGGAAGCCCGTGCTCCAGCCCGGGGAGCTGCTGACTCTACACACCTGGTGGCCAGCTGCTCCCTTCTGGCTCCATCACAGCCCCTGATGTCACGTGCAAACAAGAGGCAGCCGGTCCTCCAGCCCTGCTTCTTCTAACCACATATCTCTTGGCCTCTGGATAGAATGAAACTGGGCGAATTCTAAGATGCTAATGGAGACAAGCAAGAAAACAGAAAACCAAACAGAGAAGAAGCCAAAGTCAGCATTTCTAGGTTCTAATCCCTTCCCCAAAGTTCTCAGAGACACCTGTCATTCTGGGAGTATTATGGGTCCCCAATACTTGAAAATAGTCACATGAAAATTAATATGTTATCTGTCACGTAATGATATTCTTTGCCTTTTGGCATTTCACAGCCTGGCTTTCAGACTGCATATATATGACTTGGCCCTAACCTATACCAATTGACCATGAAATAGTTAACTGTCCCCACTCCCTGTGCTTTTCTTCCTGTGTTTTTACTCTCAAAGTTCCAGCTGAAGGATCCTTCTCCCTCTGATAAGGTCCCCAAAAAATCTTTCTCTACTTTTGGTGCTCAAATCTGGGTTTGGCAAACTATAGCCTATGGGCAAAATCTACCCCACTGCCTGTTTTTATAAATAAAGTTTTATTGAAACCTGGACATATACATTCGTTTCTGTATTATGTATGGCTGCTCTCATGCTATAATGACTGGGTAGTTGCAACAGAGACCATATGGTCTGCAAAGTCTGAACTATTTACAATGTGGCCCTTTATAGAAGAAGTTTGCTGACACTCATTCCAAAGCAAATGTTGTTTTCTCAATGAAATCTTACTGGAATCCCACGGAGTTGCATTCATCTCCCTTTCTCCTTTCAGCTCCCAGTTCTTTGTTCTGTGATTATATTACTTGTCATAATGGTTTTCCGTGTATACTTTTCCTCATCGCATCCACATGTCTATGCTGCTCTGTCTTCGAGATCACCAAGTTTAGTGCCAGGGCACACAGAGGTTATATGCTAAAGGTCATTCCTCGAGGTCATTCATAAGCCCCAAATGTGGGAAGAAACCTAAATATCCAAGAGTAGAAAAAGGATCACATAGACGGTATACCCCTATGATATATTTCCATGAAACAAATTAAATCAGCTTCTGAAGAATAAATAATGGCCTGAGAGAAATTGTCCATCACATAACGTGAAGTTTTTAGCAAGGATTCTAACAGTATGTGCAATATGATCTTACTTTCATAAATAAGTAAAGAAAAATATGCAGAGGGATTAATTAAAAAGACAAGAAGTAAATACACAACATTTTTATTCCTCTCTGGGTGGAGGGTTATGGGTGACTTTCATTTTGTCATTTTATTAGTTTGTATAATTTTTTAATAATAAAGATGTATTGCCTTTAGAACCCGGGGGGATAAATACAAGTTATTAAAACCCTAGCAGCCAGCTCTACCCTGGCTTTGCCAAGCTTTAACACGACAGCCTTAAAAATTCATCTAGCCTCAGTTTCCTTATCTGTTTAAGATGTGGAAATGTGGCCTTCGTCACGGAGTTGTTGATTTGAATTTTAAAAATAACCCAACAAGCTCCAAATGACACTTCTTGCAAGCAGGCTTCTGCAGCAGCTGGGCCTCGGTGGTGAGATGGGAAGTGTCTGGGAGCTCCCAGGAGAGACACCGAGTTGGCACCTTGGGAGGGAAGTGACGCTGGGAGGAGCCGAGTGGCGCCCAGGCTGACTTCCAGCTCCGGAGTGGCACACGCTGCGCTGGCACGGCGCCGGGGCCCGCCTGGGAAGGCAGCCCGAACCCCCAGCTCCAGTTCTGCACGAGGTGTGGCGGCTCTTTGTGTCTCATGTTCCCCCTGAGCCAGCTGTCCCCAGCCCGAGTGGCCCGTGCCTGACATTTTCTTTTTCCTTAAAAGTCACACCTCATCCTGCCACTGAGATTTCCTTTTTTTTTTTTTCCATAGCTCAAATCTTTCTGCTCCTTGTTCTCCCCCTGACTTGTTAGAAAACGTCCTTACTTGAGACTGTAAGTGATGATTTTCTGCTCCTCCCTCCTCCTCCTGTTCTTTCACAAGCATCCTGTTGTCCTCTTTTCCCCGATCATCAGTATAAGTTTGGTAGGTGAGAGGGTCAAACTTATTCATCTACAGCTTAGCTTAGTTGGAGGTTGTGACCATCACTGAGGAATTAATGCAGTGGAAGGTGGAAATTGCTTTGCAAACTTTCTCAGGAGTCGAGCTTATTATTAACAAACTGTGTCCAAGGTACAGAGGTGTCTAATATAAGATGTCTTTTTTTGTGGTTCATCCGGTACATTCTGCTCAGCCAGTATACCTGTTGTGGGCTGAGCTTGTGCTTAAGCAGTACAGATCCTGTTAATTAAATTTATTTTTATGGCCATTGAAAAATTTTGGACATTGAGTCCCAGAGAGATTAAATAATTTTATCTGAGGTCAAGCAGGTGGTTTAGAGTCAGGTTGGGCTTTATGGCTAAACTAATTCCTACTCCAAAGCCCTTCCTTTTTCTACTTTTGAAGCCTCCTCCCTCTGTCCTCATGTCATTCTGCAAAGTGGTTGCCTAGCTATTGCTTGCATACCTGCTATGTTGGGAAACTCACTACCTCCCCAGATGACCTGACTGTGGTGAATGCTTTGTTGATGCTTAAACCTATTAACACATGGTTAGTCATCCCTCCTTCTCCTTCCTCTCTTCCCCTCTCCTCCTCTCACTTGACTTCAGACACCTTTGCCTGGCCCTGGATCAAGGGATTAACCCTTGGCTTCACTCAGGAAGCAGCAAGCTCATGCCTTAGCTTGAGGATTTTTCTGCATCTTTGAGAAGGAGCCCCAGGCTGGGAACTGCTTCTTCCTTCCCTGAACTAGTTCTGGTGATGTGTCCTGGTAATTTATCTCTCCAAAAAAAAAAATAAATAAATAAATAAATCCTAGATTTTTAGCATTTGCCAATTTCTGCAGTATAAATACTCCCACCACAGCTGATTCCAAGCTATGGAGGCCACGTCACTGGAATTGGCATTGAGAGAGGTGGGGGTAACCTGCCCTCCTGAGCCAGCAGGAGCCAGCGCTGCCTGCACCCCACGGTCTACCTTTCATTTGCCTTTGGTTGGCCCAGCTGGAGCCTAGCTAATGGGTTTGTTGCTCATTGCTTTTTTTTTTTTCCTCCCCCTTAAAGCACTTCACCTGCTTACTAAAAGGCTCCAACAGTATTAAAGTTCTTCCTTCCAAGCTGGGACCCACTTGGACTGCCCAGGCCTGAGTTGTGGAGGACAGCCACCACATGCTCTGGTGGCATGAGTGCCACCAGGCAGACAGCCAACCCGGAACCCCCAACACCGCCCAGGCCCATCCCCTGGTGTGGGCACCTCTACACACGAAAGTATAGTCTTCACTTTTGAAATGCTGAGGGTCCAAGGTCAGGAAACAGTGAGCATTCTCGTGCAGAAACATCACTGGGATCATACCAGAGCCTCGCCAAAGGCCTCAGTGCTCAGTGATGGAATTTCAAGGGACTCTCAAGACCCTGTGGTCCCACACCTTCATTTTACAGGAAAGAGCTAAGGCCCAGAAAGGGTTATTGGCTTGCCTAAGGTCACAAAGCAATTTGGTGGCAGAGGTGGGATTAGAATCCATCTTTCTGGATTTCTAGCAGCCAGTTTGCTTGCTACAGAGTAGGTTGTTGGAAACTACAGTAGATTCTCAAACCGAGGGAAGATGGGCGTCTCTCTTCCTCCTGCTAAGGTGACCAACTCATCCTGGTTTTCCTGGAATTGTCCCATTCCCACTGAAATCCTTTCCTGTATTTCAGGGAAGCCCTCGGGGGCAAACCCAGATGGTTCATCCCTTGTCCATTTCCCTCACTCCTGTCTTCTCTGTCCTCTTCCTTCCCTTTTTCTTCCTTCCATGGTGCATGGATTTGGCAGCTGCCCAGAGAAACCTGAGGGTTCCAGAAAGGGACCTTGAGGAAGAGGATGGTGGAGACTGTCCTCCATTTCTGCCCCATCCAGGCCAGAGTTCACCTGTAGATATGTAACCTCTTGCTTGTTCTTCTTTTACTGATACACTTTTTTTTTTTTTTTTTTTTGAGACAGAGTCTCACTTTGTTGCCCAGGCTAGAGTGAGTGCCGTGGCGTCAGCCTGGCTCACAGCAACCTCAATCTCCAGGGCTCAGCGATCCTACTACCTCAGCCTCCCGAGTAGCTGGGACTACAGGCATGCACCACCATGCCCGGTTAATTTTTTGTATATATATATTTTTAGTTGGTCAATTAATTTATTTCTATTTTTGGTAGAGACGGGGTCTCGCTCAGGCTGGTTTTGAACTCCTGACCTTGAGCAATCTGCCCGCCTCGGCCTCCCAAAGTGCTAGGATTACAGGCGTGAGCCACCGCGCCCGGCCTTACTGATACACTTTTTAGTCTTTTTGAAATAGATTTATTGGATAGTAGAAGCAAACAATCCATGCAGATTGTTAAAGACACTAACAGATATCTTCAGATAAACCTACCACCTGGACTAACAGGATAGGTGTTTATCCTTGAAGATAATTTCATTCATCCATCTATCTACCTAACCATCCATCTATCATCTATCTAGAGAGTCCTATAAATATTATATATTAAATATACATATTCTAGAAAAATCTGACCATATTAATCATGTTACTTTGTAATCTGGGTTTTCATTTAACCACATATCATGTGTATCTTTCCACATTGTTCATTTAGCGATTACTTCATAATGGTAGCATATTATTCTATTGTGTGGTTGTACCCTAATTTATTTAATCAATCCTATTTTTAAGGACAATTAGGTTATTTCCATTTTTAAAATCATAAGCAGCATTTTGTATATTTATCCAATAAACTCCTTTGGATAATTTTTTAGAGATAAATGATTAGGTTGTTTATTGTATCGTACTTACAATTCTTATACAGTTAGCCCTCTATAAATGCCATTCCAATTTATGTTCCCACTAACAGTCTCTGAGACTGCTAATTTTCCACAGTTCCATTCGCCTTGGGTGTTACTGATCTAAATCGTTTGCCAATCTGATGGGTTAAAAAAAGAAATTCATTGTTTTTTTTTTTTTAATTTGCTCTTCTTTAAATTTCAGCGAGGATATGAATCTTTTCATATGTCTATTGGCTATTTGTATTCCTTTTTTTCAATTTTTTTCTGTTTGAAATCCATACTTGTGTATGCCCAGGCCTCTGTATATACACTCTCGCTATGAAGAACTTCAGGAAGCAAGTATTGACTGCGCAAGTGTTTATTCTACCAGAGAAACCTTTATGAGTTTTCTACTATGTACTGCCGTGCGGGTGTGTGGCATTAGATACAAAGAAATACAACACAAAGCTCCTGTCCTTGAAGGCTCTTAAAGTCTTAGGAGAGACCAACGTGTGCACACATCATCCCAGGGAAGAAGAGGTGGCAGCTACTGCAGTGGTCTGAGGGCAGCAATGTCCTGTCTTTGGGTTTTAAATTGGAGTGTTGGTGCTGTCGCTTTAGTTCTCTTGGATTTGGGGTTAAACACATAGGCTTGTCTCAGAGCTCAAGCTCGGCCATCCAGAGCCCCATCTGTGCCAAGGAGTAGAAGACAATGTAGGCTGTTTCCTGGGTGGCC